CTTATGATCTTCTTTCCTCAGCCTTAAGAGTGCTAGGATTACCCTATCTCTTTAACCAGGACAAAACTGAGCTCAGACAGGAGGTGACTTGCCCAAGGTTACTTTAAGCAGTGGAGTTGAGTTTCAAAACCCAAGTTCATGTGATACCAAAGCTCTTTCCCCCGTACCGTTCTGCCTACCTGTCTCAGAGCAGAAGTTGTCAGATTTGCTATTGAGATTACTCGCTGATGTTGGCACTTGCGAGCTTGCTGGAAGGTGTCTTCGCAGACAGGTGGGAGAGGTCAGTGCTTCAGACCAAGGGCCTAGAACAGGATTGGGACCCTGAGGATGGAGTAGAGTGGATTGAGTTAGCAGGTGTGAAAGGAGAGATGGCTGTGCGAACCCTTCAGCTACTATGGCTTCATTATATCTCCTAAGCAGTCCTGGTGCCAGCTAGCCATGGCTTTCCATGGGAAAACATAAAGTGTATTGCATCAAGGCTTATTTCCCTTAAAATACTAACTTTCCTTGTGAAGAATTTTAAATTTATTTTATTAATCATGCAAAGTACTTCATAAAAGTCCTGAAAGAGCCATTATTCCTCACTCAACAGAAGTAGCCATGGAAGGATCAATGGGCAAGTAACTGGACCATAATCACCATGGTAACTGGAAGCAGGGGTCGGGTGGGAATTCCCCTGTTGGAATCCAGCTTTCATTTTCTTATATTTGTAAAACCAAGGCTGAGATCAAGCCTACTTCCTTTCGTTTCAAGATCACTCTTAGGGGCTGGAGGAGTGGCTCAAGTGGTAGAGCCTACTTGCCTAGCAAGTATGAGACCCTGAGTTCAAACCCCAGTACCACCAAAACTAAATAACTCTCACTCTCAGAAGTGATGACTTAATGTATGTCAAGTGCCATTATTTTTTTCCCAAAGCCCTTTCACATATACAACCCCAACCCTGCGTGTGGTTAGATACTTATTCTGACTAACAGATCAGAAAACTGACACATGCACAGAGCAAGAGGTTGGCGAAGGTCCCAGAGCTCCTGCCTGGAAGAGCCAGGTGTCTGGCATTTTGCCCTCCAGGTCACACTGTCTCTTTTCCATCTGATCCTGCCTGAAACTGAGCCTGGTGGCCAGGGTTCACAGAGAGGTTATGCCATGGTTGCACAGGTGAGAAAGATGTGAATAAAGCTATAAAGCAGACTATATTGGGGTGTGGTGGCATACACCTCTAACCTCTGGTAGTCAGGGGGTGGAGGTAAGAGAATCTACGTGTGAGGTTGGCACAGGAAAAATCATGAGACCCTATCTGAAAAAACTCTAAAAGCCATAAGGATTGGGGGTATGACCCAAGTCGAAAAGAGCTTGCCTAGCAGTGTAAGGCTGAGTTCAAGTCCCAGTAATACAAAAAAAAAAAAAAAAAAAAAAAAAAATTGCACCCAGATCAATGGATCCATTTGAGTCTTGGCCTAGAGGTTGTCTCAGTCACTACCAAAAGGATACAGCTTGGCTTTTTCCTCCTTTGTTCCCTCCCTGTGTCTCTCCCTTCTCTGGGTCCCTCTGCCTCCCCTTTCCTTGGTCACAGCAGAGCTCATTAGTATAACATGGAGTTGGAGAACTGATGGAGTGGTGGTCTTGGCTACCTTTAGTCACATTTTGGTAGATGCTCTCTGTATTGATCAGAGTGCAGGGTCCCTCAGTAACCCCATGGGGCTTGAAGAGGACACAGCCATGTCCCCTGTTGAGCATCATTTGATTGTTAGAATTGTCACACTGTGCCTCTGATGGACAAATAAGGGCTCATAGCTTCTAGAGCTTCTAGGGACTCAGTAATGACACATTACTGAATCCCTATTTGAAGCATTCACCATTTGAAGCGTTTCTAGGCCAGCCATGGAACAGGCCTACCTGGACAGAATCGTCCAGGTTGATAATTTACTCTGTCATTCAAAAGCCTTGTGAACTTATGCTGAGAAAGGACTGAATTTCTTCGAGCTCCAGATCCCTCACATGGACAAGTCTCACTATTGCCATAGGTTGTTTAAGAACTAAAGCGTCATGCCCTGCCAGGTAAGCAGTGAGTGTTGCTCTTCTTCCCAGCACTCCTTTCTTTAGTTCCCAGGTGAGTGACACAATTTCAGAATTAAATTCTCTATAGCTAAACTTTCGGTCTGAAAAGTTAACCATTAGCTTATGGAATGGACAAATACCACCAATGGTCCCAGCATTGGGAGGGAGGAGGCTGACAATTGCTGACATTTCAAAGGTTTTACAAAGTCATAGAATCTAATCTCACACTGACGTGTCCTGTGTCACTGCCCCAGGACAGAGTGAGGCCGTGTTGTTATATATCAACTTTCCATTGTGCCCTCTACCATCACAATTACAACTTGAGTTGTTTGTATACCCTCTAAGAACAAAGACTGTGCCTAGTACAGGGCCCGGCACATACAGGATGAATGGATGAATGAACAAAAAACGTTTCCACTTGCCCTATCTCCAGCCTTACATCAGTTCTGTTAGTGATCCAGGTAGGGTTACACATCTTACAGAAAGCCTGCACTAAGTGTTGGTCAGGGACTTTGGCCTAGGCTTCCTGACTCCAAATCATTCCTCCTTTCTCCTCTGCCCTTTGACTCACCAGGCTCACCCTCTGGTCTACTCAAATGCAACATTCTAGAGGGGCACTATTCCCTGGAGCTGGGGTGTGTGTGTCATCTGGAAACCAGTTGGCATGTTTATATGCACCCTAACTCACTGAGTAATGGGTGATTTATTGGCTGACCACAGCCCTGTCTGATGGGCGAAGCAAGCCCTCACAGGCTCATCCACACAAGTTGCAGGAAGCAGGAAAAGGGTTCCCAGAGATGTAACTTCAGCTACTCAGGTGCTGTTGTTGGTTGGGAGGAGCCTTGACCTTCAGCTTGAATACACTGAAGTTTGGTCATCCCATTGGATTCCCTAAGAGTAGTTTTAAAAAAAATTCACTCATGAACTGAGGCGGGGGTGGCTCAAGCAGTAAGAGCACCTGCCTAGCAAGCATGAAGCCCTGAGTTCTAAACCCCAGTTCAACAACAAAAAAATTCACTCACACAATGTGATTGGTCTCAGTTTATATTCTTGATTCTCTTGTCCTTGCTTTTCATTCTTTACTAATTATTCAAGTCTCTGATATAGACATGCAGTAAACTCCCAACCTTTCTTCTCTTTTCCCTGTTCACAATGTAAGCCTTACGGACTCACACATCTGCCCCTTTCTCCTTTTTAACATCTCCACCTTAGCGGTCCCTTAGGGGTTTGTGTTTGAGGAGATATTGAACCAGACATTCAACCAGGCATAATGAGAAAACACCTAGGGGGAGCAGGAGCAGGTGTGTGGTTTTTTAGTGAACGTTCGGTGGCTCCCTGGGGGGTTATGGTGTTCCTTTGTCTATCCCATCTTCTAAACAGATCGCTTGAGCAAGCTTTTTAAAAAATTTTTTTGATGGTACTGGAGATTGAACCCAGGGCCTCACACTTGCCAAGCAGGTGTTCTATCACTTGAGTCACACACCCCTAGCTCTCAAGGCTCCTTGTTATCAGGCAGAAAAGGTCATCCTTAAGCCCAGTGTGGTCTGGAAGTAATTGTGACAAGATTGTCATTGTAACAACTTCCTTAAAGCGTCTTCAAAGCCCTTTATTACCTACACAATAGTGGAGCTGTTAGGGGCAGAACAGTAACACTGCCTTGAACTGTGAGTGGCACCTGCTTCCTGGTGGTTCTCAGCAGAGAAGGTGCTCAGTTCCTCCTAAGGAACTGAGGCATCCTGAGAGTGTGTTCAGGCTAAGGGTCAGAATAGACATGTGACGGGGAGCTGCTGTAGTCAGGAGAAGAGGGCCTGATGGGCCAGGTCACAAACTCAGGGGTCACATACCAAAGCTGGGGTGGACAACTTTCTGCAGCCCATATGATCTGAGCGATGTGTGGAGGTTGGGGGGGGGTCTCAGAAGGGGAGGAAACCAACCCAGCACCCTGAGCAACAGAGAGACACTGGAGGGCCAAGGGAAGCCAGAAGCACAAAAGACCCCAGGATGGAACAGTAAATAGCAGTAACAGCAGCAGGAAGATTTAGGGAGCTTTGTGCAGCCAGACCTCTGACTTTCTACATCGGTGCGCATGTTGCAAAGCACACAGAAACGTAGGACAGCGGCAGAGTGAGCAACAGACAAGGCAACCTGCACTAGAAACAGCTTGCACACCGATCTAGACCAGTATGCAAACCCTTGCCCCGTGTCTGATACCTAGTAGATGCTCTGTAAAAAACGCAAATCTTCTTCCACTGCTGCTCCCAAGAAGGGACCCCTTCCCACCGCTTCCTACCGAGGATGGACTGATACTGTGAACGCCCACGAGTAAGCGTTGCCTCGCGATCTCTCATTAGGGGAAACTATTGCTGAGTAAAGCTGTCCCAACACGTGTGTCCCATCACACTCTCTCCAGTCTCAGTTTCTTTGTGTTTCCATTTCCAAGATGACAGTTCGCAGAAATTCTGAACTGAATGCGGCCACTTAACTAGTCAGTGCCCAGTCCAGGGAGAAGCAGGACTGGCCCCAAGTAGCATTGTACTTGAGGGGCATCTAAGTGGAGGAAGGGGCAGATCAAGGCCACTGAAGTGATCCCAAGTCACTTCAGTTTCCGGATGGAAGGATCTCCCCTACGCCTGCTGGCTCCCGGGTCCGCGGTGGCCCTCCTGAAATCAAAGCTACAACTCACCTTGGACCAGGGGCGCCAGCCCTCCGGTAGGCTGAGAGTTCTTACCCGAACTCCTCCTCCCTTCCCCGCACGATGACATCATGTGTTTGGGGCTGAGTCGCTCCATAAAAGCAGCCTGGGGGGAGCCTGGACTGCAGAGCGGACTGCACGCCGCCACCGCTCGGGCTGTGCGCACGCGGTCCTGGTGCGCGTCCCGCCGGCTGCTTGCGCTGCGCCTGCCGCCCAGGACCGAGTGCTACCGTGAGCCGCGCGAGCCGCCACCATGGCCCGCGGCTGCCTGCGCGCCGCCGCCGTCCTCTTGCTGCTGATCTTAGAGGAGCAGCCCTGCGTCGCAGCTCCGCTGAACGGTAAAGTTTGTCTACTTTCTTAACCGTCCGGGGCGCCCCGCCACACCTGGGCAGAAGGATTTTCTGCCTCGTTATTTAATAATAAAGCAAACTCATCGGGGGAAGGTGCAAGAGGAAAGGTGGTGTGTCACACAGCACACTTGCAAGAAAGGATGCTTGGTTTTTACGTAAACTGGATTGAGCGGGAAGCACATTGTCTTTCGAATGGTGCATGGCTCACAGTTGGGGTTAAATGTGTGCCTATTTTCTGGGCACCCTTGGCTTTGGAAATGTGGCTTGGGAACTTGCTAACCAGGATTTCAAGTTTGCACCCCCCCCCCCACATGCGGACAGCAGAGGAAAGACCTGAGTGGTGTGATTTACCAGGAGGGGTCTTCAGAAGCCTCAGTCAGGGGTCAGTGTTTTCTTTGTGGGAGAGACTCTTTCTCATTCAGTTTTACCTCCATGTTAAAGGGATAATATATCTTGTCCTAAATTATTTTTTCCTGGAGGACTCTACTGAACGTTCATGTGTGTGTACGTGTACACACCCCCACTCCCACACACATTATTTCTGATTGTAATTAGGATCCTTATGCCCACTGGGCTGGAGGCTGAGGGTGCTCTGTAGGGTGAGAGGTCAAGATGGGAAAGGGGCTTGAACAGCGCACTGGAGCCCAAGGCCACTTAATTAATCTTTTTGAACAAGGCTACCAGCTGCTTTTCCCAGGGTGTCCATGGAGACGTTAGTGAAAGCTTCCTAAGTAACTGGTGGTGGCTCTTGTCCTTGACAGAGTTTGTCCCTCAATTGTGGACACACTTTTGGGTGCTACAACAGTTCCTGGACCCAGGCTGGGCTGCAAGATTTATAGAAGGACCAGGAGTATCACCAGGGCTGAGAATCGATTCTCCGTGGCTAGGCAGAGGTTGCGGAAGGGATCCTGCTCAGCAGCCGCAGAGCTCTGGGTTCCTTCCTGCGTGGAGGTCACTGTGCCCGTGGGCAAGGGCAGCGGAGCCCGGTGTGAGCCACTGTGGGATTGCTCTTAACTAAACTCATCTTCTGGCTGACGTGATCTGCTTAATATCACCTTCCTCATGTGGTCAGAGAGAAACAGAAGGTAGAAGAAAGGTGTTAGATGAAAATGGAAATTCATTTTGAAAACTGTGGCATGTTCCCCTCTCAAGAAAGCTATGCTGAGGCCAAAATTCACTAGAAATCTTTTTAGTTCTAACCTGTCCATGACATGGAGAGAGAGGTTATTCTCGTTCATGTGCCCTCTTTTCTAAAAGCTTATTGCTCCCCTTACTCTGGGCCAGCTGCTCCCCATTCTCCTCTCCTCCCCTCACTTTCCTTCCTCTTCTCCTCCTTGGTCCTCTCCCTCCTCACTCTCCAAGTTCAGGTGGGGAAGCTTGCAGTAAAAACCTCATTTTCACCTCATCTGAGCGGCAGGCCTAGCAACCCCTAGATTCTAAGGACACAGTTTTTATTGTGCACGTTTCTCGGAGTTTTAATTGTCTAAGGAGACAAGGTCAAAGCGAAACTCACTGAGGTGTATAGAATGTCAGTATTAAGTCAAGATTGGGGGTTGCAGAGCTAGCTGAGTAAGGGAGTCAAAGTGTGGTCTGGCCTCTGCCTGTAGCATTGACACTTCCTGCAGCTGGCACTGGTGAATGTCTAAGAAAAACCCTTGGGGTCAGGGGAAGAAGGATCAGGATAAGGTGAAGCCAATGATCTTCTAGAGAAGACCATGGAATCTTGGTTGCTGGGGCTGAGGGGCATTTCAGTGAACTCTGTAGAGCCTGCTCTGCCTGAACCTGATGTGGTGTCTTGGACGTCAGTTACTCATGGAAGGTTCTAGCACCTGGGGCAGGAAGCAGCAGGTAAGGCCCTGAACCCCTGGCCTGGATCTTAGTAAATGCTGTTTCCTTAGGGCATCTCTCTGCCCAGTGCTAGCTGGGTCTACAGGTTCCAACAGGCATCCCTGAGCTGTTCAAAGTTTCCCAGAAGGAACAGATAATCTTTTTTGGGAAGAGAATGAGTCTCTCCTGGCAAGGGCCTGCTCCCTCAGGAAGCCACTGAAGCCTTGGCTTGGTCTGCCCTGTGGGGTCAGTTTAATCCTATTGAGACTCCTGCCCCTAAAGCTGGAGGTGGGGAACCAGCGGATGCTATTCTAGAATAAAGCATATACACTTCTATGCAAGCAATGCACATACTTTGCACACAGCTTCCTATAGTCACATCTGAGCAGAGAGTGAATCTGGGCAGATCTCTACCCATGAACCCTAGGAACTCATCTATATTTTCTGTGCTGCTTCTCCTCAGCCCTGGAGCCCCTCCCAACACTGTCATTTATACCCAAAGCACCAAGTTCCAAGGACCAAGCAGACTTGCTCAGAGAGAGGAAGGCAGGAAATGCTGCCTCAATCAATAAGGCCCCAGTCCTGTGTCACCACCTGAGAACTCACAAGCCCACCCATGTGGCCCATTTGTAATGTTCATTCCTTAGCTTTCCAGAGTGTTATGCTATGGCTGAGAGCTATAGCCCTAGGGAAACCTCAACTTAGTGAGCTTCGGGGAGGAGGTGCACATATTAAGGCAAGGATTTGATTCGGCTCGGGGCAATACAAGCTCCTGGCCAGGCAGGACTGCTCAGTAACAGCAGATGTTTTCTGGAGGCCGCCAGGATCTCTCCCAGGGGAAAAGTGAGGGCCGACTCCCCTCTTACAGGTGGAATTTTACATCCAGGGCCTCCAAGTGCTCTGCTTGGAGAAGTAGCAATAACCTGACTTTCTACATTTTGAAAGCCATGACTACATTTCAGATGTGAACCCACACCCAAAACAGTGAAGGGAAATGTGCAGAAAAGAGGTTCTACAGCTTGGCTCCAAGGCAATGATTTCTTCCCTCTCACCATTGCTTTGGAAAAGCTAGTAGGAAGCTTAGAGGCCTTTTCAAGTGTGATTTCCCCATGGTTCTGAATGTTTTCATCCAATCCCTAATTCAGGGGAGGTAATCTTGGGATTAGTAACTCCATAGAAGGTTTTTTTTTTTTTTGGTTGGGGGGAGGGTCTGTGAACCTGAACATGAAATTTTAAGTGTCTAACGTGTGGACATTTTTATGGGTAAAAGGTCCATAGTATCATTAGATACCCTGAGGCATCTTGCCTTCTCTACCTGCCGCTCCAAGGTTGAGAAGGAGACTCAAGCATTCTTGAAATTCAGGACCAAGTGTGGTGCCTCATGCTTGTAATCCCAGCCACTCAGAAGCCACAGGTAGGAGTGCCACAGTCCAAGATCGGCCCAGACCCTATCTAAAAAATAGCTAAAGCAAAAAAGGGCTGAGGGTATGGCTTAAGTGGTAGAGCGCCTGTCTAGCAAGTGTGAGGTGCAGAGTTCAAACCCCAGTACCACCAAAAATAAATAAGTAAATAAATAAAATAAAAATAAATTTAAAAAAAGCTTTATAAAACTGTCTGACTGCAAACTATGTGTTTGATGAAAATTGCCAATTAAATTGGAAAATTAAACACAATTAGAAACACAAGGCAAAGAAATGAAACAGGATAATAATAATAACAACAAAAAGTGATTAAACCAAGTTCAAAAAACAACAAAAAAGGAAAGGCCTCACAGATGCAAAGTGACTTGCCCAAAACTTTTATAAACCACCAGCTCCACTTATGATAAAGGACCAGCATGCCGGCCAGGTAAGTCTTACTGCAAATGGATTTCCAAGAGATCAAAGGACGTGGGTTTTTCCTTCTCCAGCTGTGCCTCCCGATCACAGAGGCACTGGAGATGCCAGGAGAGATGTGCCCCTTGGACACAGGGGGTGTAGCTCAGCTCCTGTCTCTGTCTTCTTTCAGAGATGAAGAGGAAGGTGGCAGGCAGGGTGACAAGTGCATAGGCCTGCAATGACTTAAAAATACATTTGCGATGTAGGCAGGAAGGACCTGTATGGTGTGAAGGGCGCGGGGTGGGAGGTGGTAAGTGACTTTCATTGTGTTCGATTCTCACTGAGAGGAGGGTGGCAGCTTCCTCAGAGACAATGCCTTCCACCTGCAGCCAGTGCTGTGCTGTGTACCCACGTGGAGCGCTCTCCAGGATGTGGTGTTGAGGGAGGAAAAGCAAGCTGCAGAGATGTTTCCAGAATGCAGCATTTGTGTGAGGAAAAGGGGAGGGGGATAGAAACACTCACGTGTGGCCATCCTGTGACAGGGCTCACAGCCAGCTAATAAACGAGGTGGCCAATGGAAGTGGGGAGTGGGAGGAAGAGCTTACACTGAGCAGATCCTTTGCCTGCTTTTGAGTCTTGAGCCGTGTGCAATTATCACCTGTCTAGATCGGAAAGCTTGGCTGGATGTATCTACTCCAGAGTGCTCTCCTCCCAACTCATGCTCCCCACATAAAGTCCCGGTCCTGAACCTGTGGCTGAGCATAGTTGATCTCACAAGCCGTGCTTCTGAGTCACACTCGGGAGAAGTTTCCATTTCTGGGCATCCCCCTCCTTTTCAGTCTTACCGATTTCAAAACAGAATCTATAGTGTCTTCCCCAGCTCCTTCAGTTCAGTTGTACTTACTTGCTTCTTTTTGTTCTTTGCAGGATCCAAGTGGACCTACGTTGGTAAGTAGAGATTTTAAATATGTTTTTTAGGAGATGGCAGTATTTAATGGGAAGTCCAGGTCTTTCATGCTCTGTGGAGGTTATTTTCAGGGATTAGAAAAACTGTGCTGGTATTATTGAAAGAGGGAACAAAGGCATCTGTAAAGAATTGTTCCAGGCTCAAATCTGTAATCCTAGCTATTCGGGAGGGAGAGATCAGGAGGATCACAGTTAGGGCCAACCAGGCAGGGAGTTCTCGAGATCCCATCTCAACCAATGGCTAGGTGCTGTGGTGCATGCCTGTCCAGGCCAGCTTGGACATAAAGCAAAACTAACCAACACAAGAAGGACTGGCAGCATGGCTTAAGTAGAAGATCACCTGCCTAGCAAGTGCAAAACCCTGGGTTCAAATCCCAG